ATGGTCCAGGGATTCTTTTCAATGCACATGGCATGGCATCGTGTGGCACGCATTAGTCGGGAGCAGGCGAGAATTTTCCTGCATGCCTTCTTTCGCTTGCAGTCAGGGAACACAAGAGCACAAGACACGATACAGCATCACCAGATTCCTCAGCTCAGAAGGGCAAACGAGTCCAGAGCTCTGCGGAGCATTCCCAGGGTGGCGAGATCCACGGGCTCACTCTCCGAATCCGCCACTGCAATGTTCACAATGTACAGCTTCCTATCTGCTATAGTCACTGCCGTTAGTATCCGCTTGCTGCCTCTGGTGCTGGCGAGTGCGTACTCTATCTGGTACAGCGGGATACCTCCCGCTAGCTCTGTCACTCTCTGCGACAAGATCTCCGCGCTCTTGGTGCTCTCCTGCACGTGGTTACCACGTGGTTACAACGAGGTTACCAGGAGGGAATGTGCCAGGAAAGGGGGAAGACAAACAAAAAGGTAAGTGAATGAGGATGAAGCCATTAATCTTAATGTACAGCCCATTAGGTCAATGTCGCCACAGTCTGATATGAGGTCCTCTGAGAGCCCACATTCCAAGACTCAGCCATTAAACCTGAAGCCTCACCTTGCGTCGCTCGCTCCGCGTCCAGCAGTCTGGTCACCACCAAGTCAATGTTGCCGAAGTCTGTAATGAGCTCAATTTAGCTCATTCAAGCTCATTTCAGACTCTGCACATCAACATGAAGTCTGAAGCCGCACCTTGCGTCGCTCTGCGTCCAGCAGTCTGGTCGCCACGTAGTCAATGTCACCAAAGTCGCGCAGGGATCGCACGCGCACGGGGTTCACCACCACGCCCAGGGTGTCGCCGCGCCGCTCGGGGTTCGCGAAGAGCGCCGTCGCGCCCGCCTTGTCGCGCTGCTCCCACGCCGCCGGCACCCGGATGGAGAACCGCCTCGCCTCGTCCTCGTACTGCCGAAGACCCTCTGCTTGGGGTTCCTCTGCTTGCAGGTTCTCTGGAGTATGGGAGCGGCGTAGGCATGGGATATGGTGACAATGGGTAAGTGACGATAGTGTGCGGCGAGTAACCAGGGCGTCTTGTGCCAAACGCTGTGACAAGCCTTGCGTGTGCTTCTATGCTGCAACGGTCAGCACGAAAACCATCATTGGTGGCATTGAAACAATACCTTCAGAAAAAGCGTTCTGGACATTCAACGACAGAGAAAAAATGAGCGAAGTTGCCACGAACGCTCGTCTATCAAGCCTGGTCGGCGTAACACCGGCTTCTACACTTGCGATCTCGTCGGCTGCAGAAAATCCGCCTGAATTTGCGGAAGCTGCATGTTTCACTACCCCTGGTTCCTGTACGCCACACGTGACTCGCGGTAACGTTCTCGTGAGAGCGCGCGGGAGAGAGAAGTCAGACGGTCGAGAGGCTCGAGAGGGCGTCGGTCGAGCGGTCGACGAATGCAGGGACGGGCCGATCAGGCTGGCGTGAGGACGAGCGACGCGGAGAACCTCCATGGAACTGTATGGAGGCCGGTCTACGGAGAAAGAATCCTACAATCAAGGGGATGCCTGTCCTGCTTCTGACAGGCTGGTCGCGCGAGTGCCGAGGAGATAGGCAACCAGCAATGTGGCTCGGCTCTGAGGTTGGGGTGTACCCTGTAAGAGCTTCTCTACTAAAATTCAACCGAATACTTGACCGGCTCAATGTGGAAGTACACTGTCCACGCTACAGCAGGACTACAATTTTAACTAGATTTTATGTGAATGCAGCCATCCTTCTGTTGATCAAACAGCGCAAATACCTCTCTTTGTGATTAAGGCTTTCTACAAACTTCTCAACCAGCAATTTCCTTCAACAAGGAATTGCATCTCTTGTGCAAGCAAAAAACCCTTCCATGTTTTTGTCAACCATCATTCACCACTATCCCCACCATCACCACCAGCAGCTTCTGGTCTGGAGCTCCCCGCTCCCTTGGCAACCTCCTCCTTGTCCTTGGCCTCCTTGGCAGCCCGCTCTTTCACACGCTTGATGATGTCATGTGCCGTGTTGAACACACCCTGGGTCGGCTGCTCGCACACAAAGCAGTTCTTGTTGCGCGAGTGGTGCTGCCAACAGGTCCATGTGGGCGTGGGAAAAGGCAAGTGGAAAATGATCAGGATGAGTTGGCTGCGAAGAGTCTGTACGGAAAACAAGTCGCTGCTTACTCAGCAAATAAAATCTCGCATTATCTCACCTTGAGGGCGCAGTGCTCGCAGAAGTAATGCCGGCACTTCGTAACCACCGGATCCACAAACGACTGCCGACAGATGAAGCACGCAAACGGCAGATCGTCATCATCATCTTCCTCCTCCTCCCCTTCTCCCCCATCCCCTTCCTCCAACATCCCCAGTGCAGCCGCCTCTTTCCTCCTCTTCTCCTTCTCCTGCCACTCCCTCTCAATCTGCCACCCCGCCTTGTAATCTCCACGATCATGCAAAAACTTGCACGAGTCCCCATACCCGCAATAGCCAGTCTCTTTATAGTCTTTACAGAGGTCCGGCTGGTAGTCAAAGCGCACGGACCATCGGATGTGTGTGGAGGCACGCAGGGGCCCGTGCGCACCCGTTGCCTTCTCACTCGCCACTGTGTGCTCTCGCCTGAAGCCTGCCGTGTGGTCTGCGTAGCTGGGGAGTTGTGTGAGAGGAGGGAGGGGAGGAGCCAGTGGATGGAGACGAGGGGATGGTGAGGCGACACAACAAAGACTGAATGTACGAATTACCATGCTCATTCCATCAACTGTATGCTCTCTCCCATGCCATGTCATCCCACGCCATGCCCTAACACACCAGCTAAACTCACCCAGCCATGCCCTTGTAAACCTCCTTCTTGCTCCCCGGCGGGCCTGCGGGGCCAGCAGCAGCGGAGCCCCCCTCGCGCGCCCTGCCCTTGAGCGCCTCCTCCGCCTGCTTCAGCACCTTCTCGCGGATGGCGCGCGAGTCGCGGTCAAACTCCGTCTCCGTCTCTATTGTCGCCGTCGCACGGCTGTCCGATGCCATCTGCAGGGGAAGGAGAGGAAAGATGAGGGGAAAGGGAAGGGAGGAAAAGCTGTTGAGAATTCAAAAGTGCCTTAGCGCAGCTGTCCGTCGGGCGCACAAGGGGAAGGGAAGGGAGGGAATTGAGGTCTACGATTCTAGCGGGAGAGCTGGATGATAGGGGGGGGGAATTCAGGTCCACGATGCCAGGGGCACAATCCATGGACGTGAACAGACCTCAAAACTAGCGCGTCTCGAGGCACGCCCTTTACCTGCACGCGTCGGTCCGACTCGTACGCGAAGCTGACTGCTGGCTTCGCGGGACCCTCCGCGGCGCCGTCCGCCCCCGCTTCCGCCGCTGCGGCGCGCGCTGCGCGCTGCTGAGAGGAGGCGGAGCTGAAGGCGAGCTTGCCCTCGGCTCGGCGCGCACTCTTCGACTTAGGCGGGCCATTCCCGCCTGCTGACGCGTCCTCGTCGCCCCCGCCGCTGCTGCTGCTGTCCCGGTCCTGGTCCTCGCTCAGCAGCTGCCGCTTCCGCACGTTCTTCGGCTTGCTCGACTTCTTGAACATGGCGGATGGCGCGCAAATATGCGGCGAAGATTCCTAAGGTGCTAGGAGAGGCTTTTGCGATTCGTGAGCGAGGAACAAAACGGAACGATCAGAGTGAAACGAAAATCTAAAAGATAAGTTGGCTGACATGGGTCGAGCAGACACTTCTGGGAAATCGATGTGCTTCATGTTTCTGTATAAAGAGCAACTTAAGGCGTGTAACCATTTTGCATTTTGTGATTTTGACTTACCGTCCGATTATATGGAATCGGACGGTACGTTTATAACGAAACGGACTGTCCGATTTGAATGTTTGCAACTTAGGACGGTACGAATGCAGATGTGACACTTTTTCCACATGCTAGGGTTCCGCGATGGTTTTCCCTTCGCCATCTGAAATGTACACCAGTAACGCCAGTCACAACCCATCGCAATTTTCGCCTGTTGAGTTCAGCGCTTCGGACAAACATAGGAAATTTTCAAACAAGCACAAAGGTCAATGTCGTGGCTTCTTGTATTGTAGTATGGCTAGTTGTGATTGGTCAATGTCAATTTTTGCATCCGAGTCGCAATTTTCCATGTTTTGGCGAGGCGGTCCGCTGAAATCCAATTTCGCCCGCCAATCGCGTGCGCGGACAGGCGGACAGTCCGTTTGTGATTCGGACCGTCCGTTGTCAGAGTTTCGTGTCGTTGGAAAGCGGAAAAAGTGTCATACGGTTCGAATTTGTAGCGACGTCGCACACGTCCTCGCGAAGAACTGCACGACATTAAACGACAATGGTAACCCTTCGCATCGACGTACGGTCCACGGTTCGTTCCGTCCTTATGTTCACAAGAACAGTTTTATCTTCATTGGAAACACACACTAATATACACCATGCAATACGCTATACACGTTCTCGCAATGCAGACTTCAAAGCATGTGTACGGGGTTGGAGATATCGAACCGACACGTCAGTGCCCCCAAAACCACTGAGGGACCGTACGCCTCCTCTCATCAAAGCCACGCTGGAGCCTAGCGGACGAACCACCTCCTGCCAAGCAATCAGCCAATCCGCTTCGACCTTGGCTTGACCCCATACCGCCACCCTCGCCGTTCTCCACACACAGATTCCCCCAGCAACAAGATCCAAAGAATCCGACCGTTCATTCGTACCCAGCCCGTATCGTGTGAGGGTTTCACCACATCAGCCTTTCGGCCCTCCAACGCCCTTGCCTGCTCACTCCGCGCTCGGGCACACCACCACCACCTCCTCGCTTGGGGTTCTTCTGCAAGCAGACGCTTTCTAGGGTTTCATCGCAGCAGTCAGCAACACATCCCTTTCCGCTTCATCTCGCCACGCCATAGCCTGCAGTAGAACGAACGAACCCCTCGTTTCACAGTAGCACCCCAGCCGTCCGTCGTTCAGTCGCTTTTTCTCACCAGCAAGTACTTGCGGGTTGCAGTGCAGACATGTCGGGTTCAGACGGAAAAGTCGGTGGACATGGAAACAACCTTCCAATATCAGAAAACAATCCCGGTCCTCCTGCGTATGAGAAATCCTCTAGCACACGGTCTAGTCGTGACGCGCCAGGTTACCGCTGGTCCGAGGACGAGGAGGAACTAATCGCTAAGGCGAGATACGAGTTAAGAGGCGATTATAAGGAGCTCGTAGGGAAGCAGGGCTCCAGTTTCTGGCTGAAAGTGTGGGCTCAGGTGAAATCTTGGGATCCTGCCTGGGATCGACCCGTCGACGCGGTGAAGGTTAAAATCCACCGCCTGGAGCGCAAGTATCGGGATATTCTCGAGCAGGAAGCGCAACCTGGTGCCGTTGCCGTTCAGAAGCCGCTGTGGTGGAAATGGCTGAGTCTTTACATGGAGGAGAAGATGGAGGAGGAGAGGCAAGCGGCGAGAGAAGCATGGAGAGACGGTGGACGAACGGATGGCTCGGATCAGCAAACGCTTCCGTCGTCTTTCAGACCGTTTTCGCAGACGGTCGGACCGATTCAGCCGGCGTATCCTCCCCCACCGGAAAGCCCGTCTGACGGACTGGACGGATCGCAATTACAGCAACTTGACAGAACGCCGTCAGCGAAACGGAAGAGAGATTCGGAGGCAGCTTTGGCGGCTGAAGACTCGCTGGAACAAGATACGGAATTAAACGTGAAGAAGAAGAAGGGGTCACGCAAGAAAGGGGGATTGAAAGATGGGGACCTGTCAGGAGGAGCAGCAGGTGCAGCAGCAGACGCGAATGGGGATGGCGGTGCCCCGGCGAAAGAAGCTTCGACAAAAGATTACGAGCGGTGGAGCGAGCGCGAGCAGGTTTTAGTAGCCCGCGCGCGGTTCGAACTCCACGACGAGTATAAGAAGCGGCCAGCTGGGCAGCAAGGGAGCTTCTACGGACGGCTGAAAGAATACATTAGGTCGACTAAGGAGCCGTCGTTCGACCGGCCGTTCGAGGCGATTAAGTTGAAACTGCACCGAATGGAGCGGAAGTATAGGGTTATTAAGGAGCGTGTAAGGGAGCGCGAGCCGGGCGACGCGTCGGCGGAGAACGGGGAAGGAGCAAACGCGCACCTGGTGCTGAAGCCCAAGTGGTTCAAGTGGATCGACCGTTACTTGAGCGAGTCGCTCGGTTGTTTTCCCTGCGCCGAAAGCCTTCTCCCAGACAGCCCTAGCCCCCCCTCCTCCCCTCGCGACAGCCCTTCGCGAAGCGACGCGCCTGGCGAAGGGCTCGTCCGCAGACAGTCCGTCGCAGACGGTACGGGCTGGAAAACGACAAAAGGGGCGGGCGGGAGCAATTCCATGCTGCTGCCGCCTAGCGCGTCGGTGAACAGCCAGCCGAATGCGACGGGCGCGGGCGGTGCGAGTGGGGCGGGCGGTGAGAACGCGATGCGAAGCGAGGCTGCGAACGGCGCTGCGAACAGCTCTGCGACTGGGCTGGTCGGCATCGTCAATCCCGGCGCCATGCCGCCTCCCCCGCACATCCTCACATCCCCTCCAGGCTTCTTACCGCCTCCGCCCCCCGGCTTCTTCCCCCCCGGCACTTTCTTCGCGCCAGGTGTCTTCCCCCACAGCTTCTCCGCCACCTCCTCCAGCTTCCGCCCGCCCGCTCCCCCCGGGGTGGCGCCTCCGGGAGGCGTTTCCGCTGCCCTGCTCTCCCCCCAGGGCGCAGGACCTCCGGGGAATCTGGGCACGGGTGGCGGCAGTGGCGGCGGCGGCGGAGCTGGTGGTGGAAACGGGGGCGGCGGAGCAGCGGGCGCGGCTGTCCCGCAAGGAGGGTTCTGGGGGCAGCTGGTGAGTCCGGCAGGGGACGGCAGCATGGGGCAGGACGGCTTTCCCACCCCGGGGAACATACCAGGGGGGATGCCTTTCCCAGGTAGTGCATTCGGCGGGCAGGCCAGCACGAATGGAGGGAGCTTGGCAGGTGTTACGACTGGTGGTGGTGGGGGCGGTATAAGTAGCAGTGCATTGGAGCAGAAGCTGGACGAGGTGATTCGAGTGGTGAGGGAGAGCAACGAGGAGTGGCAGAAGCGGTTTGTGGAGGAGCAGGAGAAGAACCGTCAGCTCTTCCGCGAGCTCTTCATGACCTTCATGGGGCCGCGCATGAGCGCCCCTGCCACTTGACGCGAGTGTCGCCTCGGCGAGTTCAACGTGCCGTCACTGCGGCAGGTACAATGTGAGGCCGATGTTGGTGTGCTGTTCATGTCTCCAGCTGCTGGCCTGCTCTTGGTTTCGTTCGGCGTGGGGAGTTGATGCACGTATGACTTGTGTTGCCCCTGCTGTCATGTGTCTTGCGATGTTTTGGTCTGTGATGCGCCGGTTTGAAAGCACAACCACCCCTTGTTGCTCTCTGTTCCCTCCGTGTGCAGGCATGCTCAGCTTGAGGTGGCTGTGAGGGGCGTGTGCGCCGCGTCCACTCGTACTGATTGTATCGTGTTCCTCGCAAGGGGAACTGTGATGTTAGAGCGTGTTCCTACGGCCTCATATCAGTGCACTGGGAATGAACCGGTCCTAGCTGTACTACGGTCAGCCAGCTGCATCCACTCCACTGCCACATAGAGCGTTTGCTACAGTGGCGCCATGGTGCTAAGCTGTGCCTGCGTGCAGAGAACTGGTCTACCGTATGTCATGTCAACAGCTGTAGCTGCCTCTGGTAATAAAAAGTTGGTGCAGTATGTCTTCCTCAGTCCGATTCACAAAGGAGGAAAGCCCACTATCACCTGTGTCTGCATGCGTATGGGCTAGAATGCCATCTCTCCCGACAATCCACGGGAAAATGCTGTCACTGGGCATCTTTGCATGTTGTTTCAAGACCTTCAATAAGACGATGGGGTTGTTTGTGGATGAAGCTCACCACCAATGTGCTCAAATAACGAAGTTCTCATATCAACTCATACCGTACATCATCTTATGGTACAAGCCTGCCCTAAGCGGCACCAAAAATGCGGCAGACTGGTTCAGCAGACGGTCTGCGGGCGACTTTTGAGGTGCCTCAGAAACCATGACATACATGTTACTACAAGCCCGCCCTACGCAGCGCCGAGCACAGTGATGGCATGCGGCAGGCTGGTGCAGCAGATGGTCTGTGGGCGCCGGCTAGCATCCAGCACGGCCCACCATGGGTTGGGGTTCTGCGTGTGCCCCGCTCGCCCCGCTAGCTGTGCGTGTGAGGCGAGGAGGGAGGTGGGCGAGGGGCCCTGGTTGTCCACCACTGCTGCTGCGAAGAGTGTGTACTCGCCGGGCACGAGGAAGCACAGGCTCAGCTTGTGGTGCAGCGACTGGCCAGGGTCCAATGTGGCATCGATGCCGTTTAGTGTGCCTGTGAGGTGGGGTGTGCGTGGGTGGGACGGATGGCAAGGAGTGGGTGGGGAGTGTGTGTGTGGAAGCAGCACGGGGATGTGATGCAGAGCACGTGGCAATGCACACAGGCAGCTGCATGGTCGTGTGCAGGAGATCATGGAGCATGGGCAGTTGAATGGAGTGGAATGCAGCAGCAGTGCAGTATGTACAACCCACCTGCCCACATGACGTGCTGCTTCTGAGTGGCCTCCCCCACGCACGTCTCGCCAGTCACGTCGCGACACGTCACGCTCACGCTCACGGCCAGCTTGCCCTTGCTCTGATTGGTCACTGTCAGCTCCACTGTTGTGAACTCCAACGCACTCGTCACACTGAACCCCGCCCCCCCTCCTCCTCCTGCCCCTCCTCCATCCGCGTTTGCAGCTCCCCCTACCCCACTCCCTCCTTCCCTCGCAGCACCACCATCACCAGCCGCTAGCCCTGACGTTTCCCTCCGCTCATTGCCACCGCTCCCAGCACTTCCAACCCCAGCAGCAGCAGCAGCAGTGAGAGGAGGAGCAGTGACTCGGAATGAAAACGCTAGAGGATCAGGCAGCAGCACTGCCACAGCCTGACTCTCCACCACCGCCCGCACCGCCTCTCTAATCCTCACCTCCCCGCGGCAGTTCCTTGCAGACAGCCACCGCACCTTCACCCGCGAGCATATCGCGTTGATGATGGTTGTGAACGGCGACGGGATTGGCCCGAGGCCCAGTGCCAGCTGGCGCCGCACAGTGGTGTCGCCGCCCGTCTGCTCCTCGTGGTGGAGTACTGCCAGGGCGGCCTCCGCCTCGGAGCCCAGGAGGGAATCGAATCCGCCGAGCGGGATGAGCAGGCGGGCGGCGCAGTCTCGTCCGATGCGGGAGTGTGAGACGGAGCCGCCCGAGGCGAGGAGGGAAGCTTCCTCTAGAGAGGCCTGAAGGTTGGATGCGGGGGGGAGTAGACTGGCGGCAAGCAAAGACCCTGAAGCTGCCGATGCTGCTGATGCTGCCGGCGCTGCGTTTGTTGCTCCTCCTGTAGCTGTGCCAGTGGCGGTAGCACCAGCAGCACCAGCGGGAGTGCTGGGTTGGTCGTGGGGGGCGGGGGGGTCAACGAGCACGGAGACATCAAAGGCAGAGTCAGTGCCGTTCCACACCTCCAGATCCAGCAGCCTCAGTCCCTTGGCCTGCCTCACCGGCACCTCCATCTCTCCCACTGCCTTCCTCACTCCTGCTCCTCCCCCCGTCGCTCCTAACCCTTTTGCCTGGGAACCCCACGTCAAGCCTGCCCCAGCCCCACCACCACGGCCAGACGCAGCAAGGTTGGCAGCACCACCAGCAGCACCGCCACCGGCAGCAGAGGTGGTGGCGACCCCCCCATCGGACTGCACGGCGGGAGTGACGCCTCCCGTGACGAGCAGACGGGCACGCACAAGGGACAGGCCGCGCCGCACACACAGGTTGATGGGGAACGACAGCCGCCGCCCGGGCACCGCATCGTCCTTCCCCTTCTCCTTCCCCTTCTCCTTCTCCTTCTCCTTCCCCTTCTCCTTCTCCTTCCCCTTCTCCTTCTCCTTCCCCTTCTCCTTCTCCTTCCCCTTCTCCTTACTGGTAGCTCCAGATTTGGAGGCAGGGGTTGGTGCTGCTGGGGTGGCGGGATCACTCTCGGGATCTTTGTCGGGGCCTGCATAATGCACGACCAGGTTCACTGTGTCTTCCTCCTTGCTGCTCGTGCTCTGCTCTGCCCCCCCTCCGCCCTCCCCCCCTCCCACATCATCCTCGTCGTCCTCCGAACTCTCTGGCTGGAACTGGGCCACGATTTTCACGGGCAGGGTGACTGCAGCTCCCGGAAGCAGGGGCAGCGCTGCTGCAAGTTTTTCCTGCCCGAGAACGATCAGGTGCCGCTTTTGCCTGCCTGCAACAGAAACAAATGCGTCTACTACGGGCACTCGACTGGAATTTACCAGCTTGACCGAAATTTCCCGGACCTCCCCGTCAAAAAGAACCGCGGCTGCCCCGTCGCCGTCCTCCGCCGTGGCGACCAATAGCGGAAGCTCGGGCAGCACAGAAATATCGAGCACGGGCAGGACGGAGGTGGACGGGATGGGAGAGGAGGCCAAGAATCCCCGCCCAGCGCTGGCACCGCTCTTAACCGCAGTGTCGACACTCGCTGCCGCTGCAGAGAGAGAGGAGGTGGCAGAGATAGTGGGGGCGGATAGAGGAGTGGCTGTAGCAGCTGCTGCAGCGGAATTAGCAGCCACAGACGCAGCAGCAGCGGGCGAAAAAGGATCCACCAGACCCACGCCCGGAATCAACGGCAGCCCTGCTCCCGACCCCGCACTCCCTGCCGCCGCAGCAACGGTCGTGATCGTCGTGTCGGCGAATCGATGGTCCGTAAGAACCCCGAACGACTGCAGGAAACAGCCCAGGACCGTAATCACCCCCGGCGACCGCGGCAAGCCAGAGAGCGTGAGCAGATGAGAGTAGGTATTCGGCCGCAGAGAGAGCGACGCGGGGAACGGCTGAAAGTCCCCATCCACATTCAGGTAGATGGATTCGATATCGACAGCGCAGGCGCAGGGGTTGGAGAGCTCGATGATGACTTGAGCCACCTCGCCCACGATCCACACCATGTCGGGCTTCACGTTGGCCGCCCGCGTGGTGAACGGCGTGTAGATGAATGGCCCCCCCCCGCCTGCCCCCACCCACCAGTCGCGCTTGCCTCGCGTGCGCTTCACGACTTGGGTCTGCTGGGGGGCTGTTGCGAACGCATGGAACCTGGTGGGGGGGGAGGATGGAGGGATAATGTGAGGGCAGAGGGCGGATGGAAGGAACAAAGGGCAGAAGTGCAGGGTGGGTTGGGGGCACAAGAAGGGTGGTTCAAAAGCCAGAGGACACATCAAACCAAATCACGGGGATAAGCAATCAGATGACTCAGAAACAAAGGAGCTCTCAAGAATCCAGCTTCCCTCAAGGGAGTTTGACTTTTCACCGCCAACCTCCCCAGCACTACCTGACAAAGGGAAGAGCAAGGTCTGGGCAGCGAGTGCCAGCTGGCAGCCTCTCACTGGCCGATGTGAGCGCTTGGGCCAACGATTCCTGGTGAGAGGGAAGAAGGTGCATGGAGGAAGGGGACAGGTGGTCAAGAGGACGTGGTGAGAGCCAGGGAGAGACAAGGGAGTGGCAAGGGCGAGGTGATTGCAAGGATGAAGAGACAGAATACGGGAAGCTGTCACTGCTCAACACGTGGCAGGCAAGGTAGTGCCACCCACCTGGCTCTGCGGCAGGATGAGAGGGTAGAATCCGCGCAGCAGGCGAGCAGCAGCAGCCCAGGCAGCCAGCGGTTCACCAGCACGCACAGCAACGGCGAGCATGTCACTGAGCAGCTCCATCTGCAGGCGGCTCCACTGCCCCCCTCCCAGCGGCGGTGCACTGCTCTCCAACGCCGTCACCCCCGCCCTGCTGCTCTTCCCCCCACCTTTCCCCCCCACACCTCCTGCTCCTGTTCCTCCTCCTCCGCCTCCGCCCCCTGCTGCTGATCCTGCTGAGGTTGCACGGGGATTGTCGACAGGGAGGGCCGGAGAGGGCACGGGGGAGAGCGCGAGCGACTGCACCTTGTAGGACGTGGACGCCAGCGCGAGCACCTGCATGGGAGGGGGCACTCATAATGAGAGTACTTTTCACTTATGAGTCGTCTCAATAGTCATCCAAGTGACTGCATCTTGTCGCACGAAGAGGCAATGAAGAGAGAGCAATGAAGTGAGCACAGCGGGCGGGTGTACTGTGTTCTGATGGCACAGGGGGAGCAGTGAGGTGCAACAAACCTCATGTTCTGCATCTTGACATGCGGGTCACAAGGGGGGAGAGAGGCTGGATTGACCTGCAGCGCGCTGACGGCAGCGAAGCGAGACTCCTGCTGCCTTCTGAGTCGACTCAAAAGCCACCTGGTTGCACCTTCTGAGTCAACCACCTGGTTGCACCTTCTGAGTCAACCACCTGGTTGCACCTTCTGAGTCAACCACCTGGTTGCACCTTCTGAGTCAACCACCTGGTTGCACCTTCTGAGTCAACCACCTGGTTGCACCTTCTGAGTCAACCACCTGGTTGCACCTTCTGAGTCAACCACCTGGTTGCACCTTCTGAGTCAACCACCTGGTTGCACCTTCTGAGTCAACCACCTGGTTGCACCTTCTGAGTCAACCACCTGGTTGCACCTTCTGAGTCAACCACCTGGTTGCACCTTCTGAGTCAACCACCTGGTTGCACCTTCTGAGTCAACCACCTGGTTGCACCTTCTGAGTCAACCACCTGGTTGCACCTTCTGAGTCAACCACCTGGTTGCACCTTCTGAGTCAACCACCTGGTTGCACCTTCTGAGTCAACCACCTGGTTGCACTGACCTGCAGTGCGCTGACAGCGGCGAAGCGCGACTCCTGCTGCTTGTACAGCTTAGCCACCTGCCGCGTGAAGCCTATGCACTGATGAGAGACACAGGGGAAGGTGCACTGAACGGTGCACTGACTGACCTGCAGTGCGCTGACAGCGGCGAAGCGCGACTCCTGTTGCTCGTACAGCTTAGCCACCTGCCGCGCGAAGCCTATGCACTGATGAGAGACACAGGGGAAGGTGCACTGAACGGTGCACTGAACGGCGCACTGACTGACCTGCAGTGCGCTGACAGCGGCGAAGCGCGACTCCTGCTGCTCGTACAGCTTGGCCACCTGCCGCGTGAAGAATGCCGCCTTGCGCTCGTAGCCCAGCTGCTGGAAAATGCGCGCCACCTGCACGTGGGCCGGGTGGGGGGGAGTAAAGCACGATTGTGACATGTGGAGGAGAAGGTAGCCTGCATGCACACATGTTTGTGCGTGCGTGGGTGGGAGGCGAAATAGGTGGGTGAATCAAAGGTGGGTGGATGTATCATGAGTAGGCAGGTGTATGGGTGAGTGAGTGGGTGGCTGGTTCGAGCGGCGCACCTCAATGTAGAGCACGAGGAGGTCGCTGGGGTTCTGCAGCCCTCGCCCCGTCTCCACCGCCTGTGCCAGTAAATCCACCACGTCGCGTGCCATCTCCTTGCTGCCATGCACACCCACGGGGGAGAGAGTGGAGAGGTGACAAGAGAAGAGGTGTCGTGGAGGGAGAGGGAGAAAGGAGACAAAAGAGAGGAGGGGGATAGGGAGGGGGGGTTACGTTGCGGTTCCTCCCCTGCCAGCCATTGTACTAGCAAAGCGACGAGGATGGCAGTGCAATCACAAGCGATAGGTATCACTGTTAGTGTCAGAGCTGTACTGTACTGACCGGCAGATAAACCTGGCGACCTTGATGAGAGCTTCGAGCTCAAAGATCATTGCACCCGCCCTGAAAGGAGAACAAAGAAGAGAAGGCAGTAGGTTAAAGCCTTGACACACACTCACACCAGGGGTGACACAAAGCCTCTCAACTCTTCTCATTTGATGTGTCAACTCGTACACCATTTGCACGGTGCCTCTCAGTGCACTCACCTGGTCTTTAGTGCCTCTCCATACACTCACTTGCAGAAGAGCAGTATAATTTCGCTCGACTAAACGCAACTCTCATCCTGCAGAAGAAAAACGAACGAAGATGAAGTGAGCTCACTTGCGGTAGAGTGGCACGATCTCGCTGTACTTGGTTCGAATCTCCTCCTCCAACTCCTCGTCCCACCGCCCCTTCTCCACCTGCTCACAGCACAGCATATCACACCGCACATAGCATCTCCAATCGAGCCCAGAGCAAGCACCGGCGCAATTCGTTTCACCCTTGCAGAACCCATCCATCGCACCCGTAGGCCTTCCCTCACTCTCCTTCCCCGTTCTCCTCTTCCCGTTGTCGCATCACACCACAGCCAACCCTCCCTCTAATCCCAGCTCACGGCCAGAGTGCTGACGTGCCCCTCTAAAGCCCCGGCAAGCCAGAGGGGGTCGGTGCTGTTGGTGAGGCGCCCGAGCTCGATGGCCGTGCCGTAGTGGCTGCGTGCATCCAGGGGCGAGCCCGCCAGCAGGCAGTAGTCGCCGATGGCCTTCTGAATGCGCGCCAGCCGCTTCTTCTTCAGCCGTGCCGCCTGGACAGGGGGGGTCATTCATAGTAAGAAGGATCAATTGCGTTACTCTGGGTGATCTTTGTAGTGGCTGCGAGCGTCCAGAGGCGAGTCGGCCAGCAGGCAGCGGAGGGGGCAGCGGGGGGAGTAGCAGGCGGAGAAGTAGGGGGAGAAGCAGGGAGAGTGGAAGGAAGAGCAGCAGGGAGGGCAGCAGCAGAGGGCAGCGAAGTATACCAAGTCACTGAACTCTCGTGGTGGCTGCGCACGCCCAGAGGCGAGCCTGCCAGCAGGCAGTAGCCTCAGCCCTCCAGCTCACCCAGCCCTCGAGCTCACCCAGCCCTCGAGCGCCATTCACACACAGGCAGCATTTCGTGCATCACTGGCACCAGCAGCGCCTCCAAGTCACGCCCTTAGATGCCTCACACCCACCCACACCCACTCACATCCAATCACACCCTCTCGCACCCTTGTAGCTTGCCACACTAGAACACACACACTCACATCCTCATTGGGTGTGACGTTGGGGTTGTCAAGCGGGGAGAGGAAGATAGCGGCAATGGGATCAACATGCAGCACCCAGCTCTCAAGCGCCATGAGCACACACGCTGCAAAGTCATGCATCACCGACACCAGCAGCGCCTCCAGCCGCTGCTGATCCGCCCCCGACAGAATCACCAGGTTGCGCCGCTGCGGGTCCTCCTCTGCCAGCTGGCAACGGGGAAAAAGGGCGGGACTATATATGAGCGGTCCGGGAGGATGAACAGGTTGTGCTGCTGCATATCCTTCCTTTCTCGCTGGAGAGGAAAAGAGGGAAGAGGGGAGAGGAGTGGGGAATATAGCGTACAAGGAGGAAATTACCATGTCGTCGCTGGCGAGCCTCCTCTGCCCGCTGGGAGTCAGCACGGGGCGGCATGCATCTGCGGCTTAGAGAAAATGGTCTGCCTACACTGCACTGCACGCAGCATGGAGAAACACTGCAGCAGAGCAGACACACATGCATGGCTCGCTCGCGGCATGCCGCATACCTGCTCTGTGTTGGGGTCGAAGGCGATGCAGCGCTTGACCTGCGCGAGGGGGTACGCCTTGCACGCCAGCACAAACTCCTCGTACGCTGCTGCCGTGTCTGGCATGCGCGGGCAGTGGCACACCCCTATCACCCCGTGAATCTGCAGAGGCGAAAGGAGCAAGTGGGGGGGAAGAGGGGCAGACAGGCGGGAAGGGGGAAGAAGGAGGAGGAGGAGCTCATTGTCCCTTCCCGCTCATAGTATTTGTACCCCATTCTCTGCCTTCCTCTGTGCCACAGGCACCTAGTTTTCCCCCACCCCCACCTTCCTCTGCGTGACAAATACGCTCACAGCCCTCCCGTACCTTCCTTGCGCCACAATTCCCCCCGTTGCCCCCTGCCCCACCTTGCGCTGCGCCACGAACTCCTGCCAGGGGCTGCGGCTGCTGCCGCCCAGAATGAAGTTGAAGCGCAGCGACCCTGTCGTCCACGGCTGTGAGGGAGGTGCGTGCGGGGAGAGGGCGCAGAGGAGGGGAGGGAGGCGTGGGAGAGCTGAAAGGGGACGGCAGGAGAAAATAGGAGCTTCAGGGTTCCGCTGAGGCTCAGGGAAGATAAGTTAAACAGGAGGGGCAGTAGAGCGAGCGAGGCATATACACCACCTACAGCGAGAAGAGGGCATGGCGTGTCACTCACCTGGTGCGAGGAGAGGGCATGGCGTGTCACTCACCTGGTGCGAGGAGAGGGCATGGCGTGTCACTCACCTGGTGCGAGGAGAGGGCATGGCGTGTCACTCACCTGGTGCGAGAAGAGGGCATGGCGTGTCATTCACCTGGTGCGAGAACGGGCTCTTCTGGTGCTCCTTGTAGTATCCGAACACGCCCTGCAGCGGCATCACTCTGGAGGGCGGCGCACAGGGGGAGGGTAAGGGGGAAGGTCAGTGAGGCACGGGCGTGCAGGGAGGGCGAGAGTGCAAGAGACGAGGTCCATGCTTGAGGCATTGCCACTTCCCCATAGTCGACCTTGACCTGCTAGTAACCCCAAGCACCGAGGTACTGTCGCGTTGCAGCACAACACGTTACCGCAACTGTGCTTCGTTATAAGGCTGGAGGAGGTGCGGAACGGCGGAGCGCACCTGTGTTTCATGATGAGGCTGGAGGAGGTGCAGAACGGCGGAGCGCACCTGTGTTTCATGATGAGGCTGGAGGAGGTGCAGAACGGCGGAGCGCACCTGTGTTTCATGATGAGGCTGGAGTAGGTGCGGAAGGCGGACGCGGTGATTTCGCCCACCTGCAGCACCACCACGCGGATCACCGACGCCGACTCGATGCTCCCATCCGGCTCCATGCCGTCCCACACTTGCTTCCTACTTTTCCACGCGTTCCGCACTTGCTGCTGCCCGTCCCTCCGTCCGCTCGTCCGTCAATCCGTCCGTCCGTTCGTGTGTCCGTCTGTCCGCCCCTTTGCCAGATTCTCTATCTCCGTACGTCTGGCTTTTCGCAATGGTGTCTGTTCGTATCTTCCAGCCGTCCTTCTAACCGTCTGGGTGTCTGCTTTATGGAAGTACTCGCGAAAACACTCGATTTCGTGTCAAAGATAGAAGTTTGCTCTCGACAAGCCACCCAGGCAACACGCTGTCGCTCCGTGAGTCTACCTCACTGTCTGCACTTCGGACTGACTGCGACTAATCAATCAATGACCCACCTATCTTCACCGAGGCGTTCCACCCATGATCAGGCTTACAAGGAACTTCATATCCGTTATGTTCTGTCTTGTTTACTGTTGCTACGATGTCTTAGATGCTTTCCAAGATTGTATCATTCTCAAAGCTCTCCTCACACATCTCACACAAAGGTGATTTGGAGTGAATACCGTATGGCCCCGGATATAAGCGCATGCGCTTGTATCTGGAGCAATGCGCTTATGGCCGATCCTCAATTATAAGCGCACCCCTTGGAAAATCGTGACTAATTATAAGCGCACCCTTTTAGTTAAAAAAAATATCATTAATTTTTTTAAAACCTACCTAGCCTACATGTTCTAAACTTTCCATTAACTTAGACAATCACATACAAGGGTGGTCTCTGGTGTCCTGCACTAGACACCTTTCAACTTGCCAAGTCTACCCTACAAGGCTCCGTGGAGTTGTTGCCCCATAACCCATCTGCCTGGATGTCGTCGTCCACCTCCACCCTGTTGAGTTACTAAGTATGAGTAAGCTTAGGTTTTAGGTAGGGCCTAGGCTTAGTAGCCTAGGCCTAGGGGAAGTCGAGGAGGTTGTGCCAAGGTGAGACAGTCGAGAATGGGAAAAGGTGGTGTTCACTATAGCACTAGGGTACATATAGTAAACAGAGCATGCAAAGAAGGTGCACCACCAACAGTTTATAATAACTACACTAAACTTGAGGAGATGAACTCTACAACAGTTGTGAGCTAGACTACAGGGCTGGCACGAACTACTAGAGGTGATCGTAGCTTTGCTTGGTTCCTTAGTGCTTGCACATTCACGGGAGAAATTGGCAAGAGTTTCCACTAGCAAAGTTGAGAATACAAGAATGATACAAGAAGCAATGACAACAATGACTACATCACGCACCTAGCAACCCTGCAGCTAGTCTGGTCGACCGCCAACGCAGCTCGGTCGACCGCCTGCCAGCACTGCGTAGAGGAGCCGCGCCAGCACTGCAGAAGGGCGACCTGCCAACAAAGCAGGTCGACGGCGTGCCCCGTAGAACACAGCAGTGCGCGCGCTCGCAGGTGTGCGCAGACGATTGGCCTGACTTGCCTCGTTGGGCATCCGTCGGTTGCTGTCTGCGCCTGACGAGCCACATCGACTTCGGGATACCAGCCCGAAGTCGCCTGCGCCATCGCGATCTTGACGACGTTCGCGTGCCTCCGCAGAACTCGTCGAGCAGGTTACCCGGTTGACCTGGTCGACCCCTGGTGCTCTGGTCGACTCCCAGGTGCCTCCCGTCGACCACCGGGCGCTCCTGGTCGACCACACCTCCCGTCAAGCTACCCCTTGGTCGACGGACCCCTTCCGTCGACCAGAACTGCTCCGTCGAACTGCAGTTCGACGGGATGCTCCATAGACCTCCCCGTCGAACTGAAGGTCGACGGACTGCTTCGTCGACCTCCCGGACGGCTCACCCGTCGCCCAGGCTAGTCAGGTGCAGCTGTCGAGCATCCTGGTCGACAGCAACACCACAGCGGTCCGCTGCAGCTTGACGTAACCTGTCGAGCAGCTATCCCACTGTGAGCGGTCGGCTGCTACTGCCGTACATCCGACCAAGTTGTCGGCGTTGCCCAAGCGAGGGCGGGGCCAACACTCCATTCCCGTTAACAAAACTACAGCTACAGGCAGTTACATATAAACTCTAACAACATTCAGGTTGCTGAATGCTTTTCCCTACGCCGATAGGGATTCATGCGCTTCCTAAGCATTTGTCGGCAAAAACAGCCGAAATCATAGGCGCCGAACTTTTCTTTGCGCAAGAATCAAGCCGAAACGGCTCCAATAGGTGTAATTGAACATGAGCCACTCAAAGATGCACTAAAATTCAGGTTGTTGATACTTTTCCCTACGACTACAGGGATTCATGCGCTTCCTAAGCATTTGTCGGCAAAAACAGCCGAAATCATAGGCGCCAAACTTTTTTTTTGTGCAAGAACCAAGCCGAAACGGCTCCAATAGGTGTATTTGAACATGAGCCACTCGAAGATGCACTAATATTCAGGTTTCTGAATGCTTATCCCTATGCCTAAGGCGATTCATGCGCTTCCTAAGCATTTGTCGGCAAAAATAGCTGAAATCATAGGCGCCGAACTTTTCTTTGCGCAAGAACCAAGCCGAAACGGCTCCAATATGTGTATTTGAACATGAGCCACTCGAATATGCTCTAACATTCAGGTTGCTTAATGATTTTCCCTACGCCTATCGCAATTTATGCGCTTCCTAAGCATTTGTCGGCAAAAACAGCCGAAATCATAGGCGCCGAACTTTTCTTTGCGCAAGAACCAAGCCAAAAAGGCTCCACTAGGTGTATTTGAACATGAGCCACTCAAATATGCACTAGTATTCAGGTTGCGAAATGCTTTTCTCTACGCCTATAGGGATGCATGCGCTTTATAAGCATTTGTCGGCAAAAACAGCCGAAATCATAAGCGTCAAACTTTTCTTTGTGCAAGAACCAAGCCAGAAAGGCTCTTATAGGTATTTTTTAACATGAGCCACTCAAATATGCAATATCATTCAAGTTTTATTTTCGTAAGAACCAAGCCGAAAATGTCAGAACATTATAGCTTACTTATTTGTGTAGGCTATAGTGGGGTATCCCATAGGAGGTACAACCCAATTAGGGTTTCCTATTTGTACTCACTTCGTTCATAGTCATTTCATTCTCGTTCACTTCTTCTCATGGTATCGAGCAGGTTCCCCTGTGGGAACTGTGCTTAGGGCCCACCACCACTACCTCGTAACTTTTTTTTCTGCCCGGAGCGCGCTCCGGGCCCTTTCTCTTCCTTTTTTTTTATCTGCCCTAACGGCCCCTAGACGCCCGCGCGCCGCCCGGCCTAGAGCCTGAGCGCCGCCCGCCCTAGAACCTGAGCGCCGCCCGCCCTAGAGCCTGAGCGCCGCCCGCCCTAGCGCCTCAGCGCCGCCCGCCCTAGAGCCTGAGTGCCGCCCGCCCTAACGCCCGCGCGCTGCCCGCCCTAGAGCCTGAGCGCAGCCCGCCCTAGAGCCTGAGCGCCGCCCGCCCTAGAGCCTGAGCGCCGCCCGCCTGAGCCTCAGCGTGCGATTCGGTCGATGACATTTCTCTCTTTGACTTTACCTCTAGAGCTGTCCCTGCCCCTCCTGCTGATGCTGACCCCACTGTTCGCTCCAAGTGGGCCACCCGCGATGCTGCTGCACGTCTTGCTGTGCGTCGCCACCTCCCTTCCTCCGAGCGTGCTCACTTTAGTCAGTGCAAGAGTGCTCAGGCCTTGTACGACGCTGTAGTTGCGCGCTACTCTTCCCCCTCCTCTGCTACACTGAGCCGCCTCATGCTACCGTACCTCTTCCCTGACCTTGCTGCCTTTCCCACAGTCGCTGACCTCTTTACCCACCTCCGCGCTACTGACACTCGCTACCGAGCTGCGCTTCCTGCTGACTTCTGCGCCGCAAACCCCCCTCCCATGTACATCACCCTCTACTTTCTAGTCACCCGTCTCCCTGAGTTCCTCCGTGTAGTTAGGGACCAGTTTCTCTCTGTCTGTCCCACCACCCTCACTGTCGACCTCCTCGAGAAGTCCCTGCTAGCGGCCGAGAAGAGCATAGTCGCTGTAGGGGCCTCTCGTGGTGACCCTCGCACCCCCATCTTTGAGGGGTGTTCTCCTTCCCCCATGTTACCCTCTGTCGCCTCTGCTGCTGCGGCCGACCTCGTTGGTCTAGAGTCAGTCGGAGCGGCGTCTGCCCCCAGCGGTAGGCGCCGCTCTGGCAGGGGCAAGGGGGGCAAGGGAGCGGGTGGAGCTAGCGGGGGCAGTGGCGGAGGAGGTGGGGGCAGCGGGGGGAGTGGGGGTGGCAGTGGGGGTGGTAGCGGGGGTGGAGGTACTAGTGGCGGCAGCGGAGGCGGAGGTGGCGGCGGAGGTGGCGGCGGAGGAGGCGGCGGAGGCGGCGGTGGGAGTGGCGGAGGCGGGGGCGGCGGTGGCGGCGGTGGAGGGGGTGGCGGTGGTGGAGGTGGTCGGAGTGGCTCGTCCCAGCGGAGCAGCACTGGGGGTGGTCAGCGCCAGCAGCAGCAGCAGCAGCAGCAGCCGCAGCAGCAGCAGCAGCAGCGTTCTCGCGACGTCCCCACCCCTCAGCAGCTCTGTGAGTGGTACACGCAGCGTCAGCGCGGTGGGGGTTTTGGTCCCTGCACCTACGTTCTCCGCACTGGCGACCGCGCTGGAGAGCAGTGTGGGGGTACCCACACCGCCCAGCGCTGTTTTGGCCGCCTGACGGACGCTTGGCGTCAGCAGTTCCCGGAGGCCGCGGAGATCCCCCGCTGGGGGGAGCTGTCTAGGGCTGGTGTAGCTATCTTTGATCTTGACTTTGATGCTATCCTTGTTGCCATGTATGCTGTGACCATTAGTGATGAGGGTGACTGTTACCGGTGTTTCCCGCCCGACCCGGGCATTGGTACTGCTGCTCTAGGTGCCAGTGAGGCTTCTGCTCTAGGTGCCAGTGCGTCTGTGCTCTCAGGTACAGGTGAGGCTGCTCTCTCAGGTACTAGTGAGTCTGCGCTCTCAGACACTGCGTCGGCTTCGGCCTCCCACACCTTCACCCTTGACTCTGGAGCGTCTCGCTCCTTCTTTCGGGACCGCACCACACTCAC